ATTACAGTCTCCTCCAGGTATCATCATTCACCAGTATTTTCTTCTATTCCCTCTGTGTGTTTTTTTTTTTTTTTTTTTGGTGGGAGGGAGATGTACACAAAAACACTCAGGAATATATAATAATTTAAACAACCAAAGTGCACATTCTGTAAGCCTGCTTCTGGCCATCAGCACTCAGTCTTTCTCTTTCCATGAGTCTGGAGTCCTCAGCTGCTTTCTCTCTCTCTCCGTATCATCATCTCTGCTGTATCTGCTTTTCTGGATAGGGTCCCACATTCCACTTGTGCTCTTCTCCCTTGATGGTCCCAGGGTCCTCTGTTCCTGGACTGTCAGATTAACTACTCCCCCCTTTATGTGACAAAACCTCTACCATTACAACTATGTGTGAGAGGGGATATGATTGATACTTGGTGTGAAGATACCTTCCTTCTCAGTTGATATTTTGAGCTACTACATTCATAAGTATAGGTCAAGTTCATCAAATTATAGTAATTTACACTTGTTTCCTTTACAAAATTGTTTGTTTATCTTCCTCTAGTCGAGTTCTAATCATCAAGTCATCGAAGCTAGGTCAAATGGGTCTTAAATAAACAATCCAGTAATGAGAGTAAGAGGGGATGGTCCTACCAGTTATTTTCAGAGACATTTTAAGACCCTGTCTTGGCATCAAAGGAGCCCTGATGGCTCAGTGGATAAAGTACTTGGCTGCTAACTAAAAAGGGTAACTGTTAGAACCCATCTGCTGCTCCACAGTGTAAAGATGTATAAGTCCACTTTTGTAAGGATTTACAGCCTTGGAAACCCTATAGGGCAGATGTACTCTGTCCCATAGGGTCTCCATGAGTCAGGTGATTAGAAGGCACTGGGTCTTTATCATGGTATGCAAGTGTGACCTACAAAGTCTTAGGAAGCATATTTGACCTCATAAATTAGCATAACAGGAATAGTGATCCAAGACTTTGGCTCAAAGGTCAAGCCTGTTCTCCATCTTAGACACGGTTTTTAATAATGATTTTGATAGATCATTTTCTCCTGGCATCTTAAGGACACAATTTGTCTCAGTGTTGTTGTGTGCTGTGAAGTTAGTTCTGTGTCAGGGCAGTCCTCACCATCGTTGTTGTCTTTGAGCCCATTGGTGCAGCCACTATGTTAGTCCATCTCATTGAGGGGCTACCTCTTTTTTGCTAACCCTCTACTTCAGTCATAAAATCAGAAGAGAGGAGAGAAGTCATTACATTCTTTAACTTTTATATACCATTTTGTGAATTTTTTCCTTGGGACTCCCAACAGTTGATCACATCTTGTGGAATCTTGACAGCTAAAACGCAGTGCCCAGGTGGATATAGGTGCATGTTGGCACCAAGAGTATCCGGTCTCCATACCTCGCAGCAACTAGCCCAATTGTATCAAATGCTTTAGTCACGGAATTCATAACAATAGTCCATCTATACACCAGTCACAAACATGGCTATAAAACAATCTATGAAGGAATACAAGCTCATGGGTGGTGCTGATAGTGAAGTGCTGGACTACTAACTGAATGATTGGCAGTTTGGAAGACTGGCTGGTGATCTGTTTCGTAAAGATCACAACCTTGAAAACCCTATGGAGCAATTGTACTCTGCACACACACACACAGGGTCGCTGTGAGTCAGAAGCGACTTGACATCAGTCAAAAACAGGAAGGCATACACACTATCATTGGCAGCCTGTTTGTCCCCAAAGGTAACATTAACCAGGATAGAATGCACTAGTCAGTGGAATACATTGGAAGGCAGGTTTGTTTGGGGAAGGGGTTTTGGGTAACTGGCATAAGGTCTTTGTTTCTGGAATGAGGTACCTAGAATTCAGTGTACTTCAGTTTCCAGTGAGGGACCCCTCTGTTCAGCTTCACTTAGTAACTTCTACACAGATAGGAGAATTGAGACAGAAGATGGTGAAGAATCCTGAGTTATTTTCTCTCTCTGTAGGCATCAGTTTTAGGATCATAATGATTTTGCTTTTATATATATTATTTTGAATGGGAGAGTCTTATCCAGTGGAATGGATGCAGTGTTGTAAGTCATATGTAAAAACTACCCCAAAAGTTACTAGTTGAATAAAAAGGAATTTTCAGTAGAGAGTGAGTCATAAAAGAAGTTTTAAAATTCCTTAAAACATTTTCTAACTTCTTCTCTTGCTTGTTTTCCATTGACTATAGGTGACTTGGATGCTCTTCCTAACATTAAAGTACGAGACCACAGGATGGTAAGAAACCAATTTTTATTTTTCATACTACTTTTGCTCTTCTTCTTGTGTGCTATTAAGTGAGTTTTGACTCATAGTGGCCCGGTATAGGGTTTCCAAGAGCGGCTGGTGGGTTTGAACTATGAACTTTTTGGTTAGCAGTCCACTGCTGATCCTACAGCGTTATACCAGGGCTGTTTTAGGAATTTTATAAGTAAGAATTCCAGTTTGGAATTCTTCAGAAATATTGTATTAAGAAATAATTTAAATCTTAACAGTGTAGTGGGTAGCAAGAGAACTATTAGTATAGATGTTTAGTTAGTTAAGTGCCGTGGAGTCGGTTCTGACTCATAATGACCCTGTGTAGCATTTCTGAGGCGTGGCTGGTGAGTTTGAACTGCCGACCTTGCAGTTTAAACTGACCTGCTGATCCTACAGCTTAACGTAATGGCAAAGCAGTACTCTAGTTAGAGTCTTGGCTCCTCCTGATTCTACCTGTGTGGTTAAGGGCAAGTTATTTCATCTCTCTGAGCTTGAGTTAAGTAATTTTTATAAAATAGAGATAAAACTACAAATATCAGAGGTTGGTTATAAGGATTAAATTAATTCTTGTGAGGTGTTTAGGACCAGACCGGCAAACAGTACGTGCCTCTATAGTAAGTCACTGTGTGGTGCTGTAGGGTAAGCACTGGACTACAAGGTTAGTTTGAATTGCAATGGTCAATAGTTCAAATCAACCAGCCACTCCTCGGAAACCCTATACAGGATCGCCATGAGTTGGAACTGATTTGACAACACTTAACAACAGCAACATACAAATGTTTATTAAATAAATAAAAACATCTCAAGGGTTGTTGTGAGGATTACATGATGTATTAAGAGCTCTTGGAGAGCTTGGACAGTAGGTGTGACGTGCTAGATAAAGGGAAGGGATGAACCACTTGCATTCATTGACTACTTAGTGAATGCTTACTACGTGCTAGGTACTTTCCTTGTGCTGGGGTTACAGAGGGAACAAAAGAGCCTGGAAGGACAATAAAAAGAATAAAATCTATAGAATACTAATGCCATCCTGGATGGTGGTGTGGGTTAATGCGCTGGACTGCAAAGTCGATTTGAACCATAAGGTCGGTGGTTCAAGCTTACCAGCTGCTCCTCATAAACCCTATACAGGGTTGCTGTGGGTCAGAACTGACTCGACAGCACTTAACAACAACATCAACAACAAAGGTGATGGAAAAAGCCAGGAAAGGGGGTTGTGGGGTGGGAGAGGGAAGGCCTCACTAAGAAGGCTGTATGTGAATATGGTATCAGGGAGCTGACCATGTAAAACATCGGGGAGCAGTTGGGTGACTGTCTGGAGGAAGAACAGTCTAGATAGAAGTCCCTGAAGGCGTGCACCTGGAGGTAGTCAGAAGACTAGTGTGAGTGGACAGCTGTGAGTGGGGCTGGACAGCAGGCAATGAGGTTGACAGGATGGGTGGACTGCAGAGCTGTGTGGGCCGTTGGAGCTTTGCCTTTAGTGTGCATGTGATGAGAGCCTTTCCCAATTTCTGAACTGTTTCTGTGTTTTAATACAATCAGTAGCTGTGTTGCTGAGAGTAGATTGAGGGGACAGGAGGCTGTTACAGTCAGCGAGGTAACAGGTGAGGTGACTTGGAGCAGGGAGGTAGTGCTGAGGTGACTGGATTCATTTTTAAGGGAAGATGCATGATAGGATTTTTGACATACTGGATGTGGGTGTGAGAGGAGACAACAAGGATGGTGTTTGGCTTGGAGTTGCTATTTACAGGAGTGAGAAGCAGGAATTTATCTAAACAGTTGGTTTGAGATGCCCATTAGACAATAAACAGTTGGAGCTGGCAAGTAGACAGATATGAGAGAGAGTTCAGGGGGAAATTGAGGTTGGAAATGTAAATTTAGTCTTGACAACACCCCTGTGATATAGGGAGCATTATCTCCATTTTCAGGTTGTAAGAGTAAAGGCTTAGCTAGAATGCTCCTTGCTAGTCAGTTACTAGTGCTTGGGTTTGAACTGATGATGACGACACTGTGGCTGTGATTATGTCTATGCTGACTCATGGTGACCCCAGGGGTGCAGAGTCGCACTCTAGAGGATTTCATGACTGTGACTTGGAGAAGCAGATTGCCACACCTCTCTTCTGTGGCACCTTTAGGTGAGCTTGGGCCACCAACCTGGAAACTATTAGTCAAGCGCATAAACATTTGTGTCATTCAGGGACTCCTGGTGTTCCTAGTGTTGTTATTGTTATTAAGTGCTGTCAACTTGATTTGGAATCATAGTGACCCTGTGGTGAATTGGAACTGCCCTTCTTGATGGTAGCAATCCAGTGCTTACCCTGAAGCGCCACACCTATAATTTAATGACCCACTCTGGGCTTGTGCTAGGCACTTTACATTTATATGTTCTAAAATCTACAATAAGGTCTGGTTATCCTTACTAAGCGGAAACTCAGATTTAAAGGCCAGTGGTCACACAGCTAATAATAGGGCAAGCTGAAATTTAAACCCAGCCCATGACTTCACATGTTTTGATGTAATTTGTGAAGACTTTGCAGGTTGGTAGGTTTCTCCCCTAAGTGCCAGTCACATTTTTCAGTGAAAAGATAACTGAAATTTACTAAGGGAAATTTAACATCTGAGATTTTGGTTAAAATTCCAGAGAAATAAGAGATTTTAGCTGAATAGAAACTTGGTATACGTCAACAGTGTATCATAGTTGTTAGGAAAAAAAAGATAGTCAATCTTCCTGTTATTAATGTCATCAAGTCGGTTCTGACTGATTATCGGCCCTATGTGCGGTTTTGAGGAATGGCTGGTGGGTTTGAACCGCCAACCTTGCAGCTCAAACTGACCCTGCAGTCCAGCGCATTATCCTGCAGTGCCGCACCAGGACTCTTTAGTTTCCTAGAAACTGTACTTTATAGAAAATAGAGGATGAAATTGAGGCTGATTCCTGTGGAGAAGATAAGACAGGTGGACGTTGGCAGCTCTTCGCAGTTATGTGGAAGGGCTGTGAGGCAGGAGAGAGATGGGACTGATGGTGTGAAGTACCAAGCACAGCTTGATCAACATTAGCTGCTGTTAACATCATCCCCTCCATTATTACTGTATGAGAAAGCAGTAATTAATGTGTGGGAAATTACAAAGAGAGTTAAATTTGGTATATAGAAGAGAATTTAGTGTAGGAAAGGAACTTTCACATCTGTGAAATGCATCGCCTTAAAATTAAATGAACAGCTCTTCCTTGAAATATTCAAGTAGAGTAAGTCCAGAAATCTGCTGGAGAAGTGTTGATACTTTAGGTTTCTTCTAATAGATATTGTTGCAGTTATTAAGTACCATTGAGATGGTTCTGGCATATAAAGCATAGTGGTTATGAATTGGGCTGTGAACCACAAGGTCAGCTGTTTGAAACTATCAGCTGTTCCACGGGAGAAAGATGACGCTGCCTGCTCCTGTAAAGATTTGCAGCCTCAGAAACTCTGTGCAGGGTCACTAGGAGTCGGAACCTACTCCATGGCACATAACCACCACCAGGGTTTTTGAGGGTTTGAAGCACTCACCTTGTGGACAGCAATCCCATGCTTATCCTAAAGTACCACACCAGGACTCCTTCAAACATATGTTCTTATTAAGTGCCATTGAATCAGTTCTGACTCATAGTGACCCTGTATAGGGTTTCTGAGGAGCAGCTGGTGGGCTCGAACCATCTGCTTTGCGGTTTGCAGTCCAGTTGCTTATCCTATAGTGCCACATGAGAAGTACAACGTATAAGATGATATTATTCTCTATTGCAAAATTCTCTACATGAAAATTTAAGTTGCTTCTCATTTGAAAGCATACTATAACGAACGCAATGCTAGCATACTTTTTCTCCACAATATACCGTCAGTACAGCTGCAGTCACATGTTTCTTTCCTAGGTTATGTAAACTGCTCTAGAGCAGAAATTCTTAATTCATCATTGTATCCTCAGTTCCTAGCATAGAGGAAATAGTAAGTGTACAAATGCACCAGCCGCTCCTCGGAAACTCTCTATACAGAGTCGTTACGAACTGGAAATGGCTCGAAGGCACTTAGCAACAACAACTATATGAATTATTGCAAGAAAGAATTAATATTGGCAGTGATTACAAGCCTTTTGTGTTTCACTGGGTGAATTGCTTCATACTGTGGTGTTGTTGTTTTGCCATTGAGTGGGTTCTGACTCATGGTGAATCCTCTAGGGTTTTGAGAGTGGCTGGTGGGTTTGAACTGCTGACCTTTTGGTGAGCAGTCCAGTGTTTATCTTCCAGTGCTGCACCAGGGCTCAGAGAAAGTGGAACTGCTCCAGGTGAGGCTGGAACTCACAAGCTTGGCATCCCTTCTCCTGCCTATGGAGGCCCGCTTCCTACTTAATCAGCGTTAACACTCTCTTTGGTCTGGCTTCACCACAGAGAAGCAGGCAGGAGTGGGGTAGGAGTCAGCGTGCTGGCTCCTCTGTTGGCTTCATAATCTTGGTTGTATGGAGCATTTCCTGTGTTTCTGAGGAATGGTCATGTGGAGTGAGAGGCAAACAGCCAGTCTTTTGATTTCTTAAGGGACAGTATGGAAACTTGTGCTTGTTACTGCCAAAAACTGTTATTTTACGCACAGAAGTAATCATGAATATATGCTATTTCTTTAGCTCAGAGATGACCCTCCAGATTTTTTGAAAAATTCATTACTGGAATCAGACAGTGCTTTTATTGGTGAGTTTACTTATTTTAATTTACTGATGCTGTTTGTTGAAATGTTAGACAATATTTGTATCTCTTCAGTACCTTTTTTCTTATTCCAAAATCATTACTACGCTCTTTGTTGTACAATTTAGTTTAAAAGGGGAGGCTATTTTATTACCCAGTTTAATGACTCATTACCAAATGTACTTTACAAATTATTTCCAAATTCAGAATAATTAAAAAGAGCTGTAAAAGTTAGGAATAGTTCACTCAAAAGCCTTTACACAGATGTGCATAGCAACTCTGTTTATAATAGCCCAAAATGGAGTCAATCTGATGTCCTTTTCATGTGACTGGTTGGGCAGTCTCTGGTCCGTGTGTGCCATGTAATGCTACTCAGCAGTCAATGAAATGAAATACTGATGCACACTCGTAACTTGGGTGCCTTTGCAGGGAAATAGGCTGCACAAAGAAACTCAACTCAAAAAGTTACATACTGTAGGGGTTCATGCATGTAACATTCTTGAAATGACAAAAAGTTTTGAAATTGAGAGTAGAGTTATGGTTGCTAGGGTTTAGGAGTAAGTTTGTTGTACGGTGGTGGCTTGTGAGTTGCTGTGATTCTGAGTGCCTGTTCCACTGGTATTTTAAATACCAGCAGGGTCACCCATGGTAGACAGGTTTCAGATGAGCTTCCAGACGAAGACAGACTAGGAAGAAAGAGTGATGAACTACTTCTGAATAATTAGTCAACGAAAACCTTATATAGTGCCGGGAAATGAGCCCCTCAAGTTGGAAGGCACTCAAAATGTGATTGGGGAAGAGCTGCCTCCTCAAAGTAGAGCTGACTGTGATGACAGGAATGGAAGAAAAACCCGTGGGACCTTCATTTGCTGATGGGCACAACTCAAAATGAAGAGAAACAGCTGTAAACATCCTTAGAAAATTGGAACATGGAATGTATGAAGTACGAATCTGGGAAAACTGGAAGTTGTCAAAAATGAAATGGAATGCATAAACATCGATATCTTAGGCATTAGTGAGCTGAAATGGACTGATATTGGCCATTTTGAATCTGACAACCACATGGTTTACTATGCGCCAGAATGACAAATTGAAGAGGAATAGTGTTGCTTTCATCGTCAAAAAGAACATATCCAGATCAGTCATGTGGTACAACGCTGTGATAGGATAATAATCCATGCGCCTAAAGGGAAGCCCAGTTAATACCACTATTGTTTAAATTTACACACCAACCAATAAAGCCAATGAGGATGGAATAGAAGAATTCTACCAACTTCTTCAGTCTGAAATCGATCAACCATGCAATCAAGATGTATTGATCAATACTGGTGATTGGAATGCAAAGGTTGGGAGCAAAGAGGAAGGATCAGTAGTTGGAAAATATAGCCTTGGTGATAGAAATGATGCTGGAGAACGCGTGATAGAATTCTGCAAGACCAATGATTTGTTCATTTCAGATGCCTTCTTTAGACAGTGTAAGAGACTATACACATGACAAGCAGACCAACCTGGACTGGCTAGAAGAACAGAAGATACTTCTTGAAAGAAAGACCTACAGGAAAAATATAAAACGACATAGGCAAACCGACTGTTACTACAAGAACAAGAAGTTGCTTGCCCAGGAGACATCAAGGCAAGTGGTCGGATCCCCTCAGTGCAAACCCCTTCAAAGACTAAGACTCAATGGGAATACACCCTCTGATTGGTGACCACGCTCGACACTGATAAGGGGAAGTGAGGGAAAAACAGCAATGAAG